TAATTTTTTTCCATCAACCCGCCATTTTTCAGATAATTGCAGATTTCGTGAGAAAAGCGCGATTTTGAGCAAAATTCGACTTTACCGGCCGCAGAGAACTGCCGCAATATCTCATAAACCGAAAGTCAGAAATTATATTAACTGTACAATGTTTCTTATAGGTTTTGTGTTCTTTATAAAAGGTCCAATAACATTTTTTGGTAAGATTGATTGTTTTTGAGATATATAAGCGAAAAACCGGTCGCCGGCGGCGTATTTTGGCTTCCCGCCCCCTTTTTTTCAAGATCGTGGTCTTGAGGGACATTCGATTCCGGTAAACTTTTGTTATGTTGACCTGATAGCCTCTTGCAACGTGTTTTCTCAAAGAAACCTTCTATATATTGATTTTCCCAGAAAAATTCTAGATTGACTGGACTGAATAATTTCATAAGTGCAATGGTAAAATTATATTGCAGTAAAGTCTGGAAAATATAGTAGTGAAAATTGTATTGTGTTCTGCTCTTTCCCTCTTGAAATGTGGGCAGCCCAGGGTTGCCATAAAAATTTGGAAATGATTTTCCTTGACTTTTCCAGGTTTTCCCTGACGAAAAATGGAGAAATTCCCTGACCTTTGAGAACGCGCGCCATGATCGCACAGCCAAATTTACACCTTGCTAGCTACCATCGCTGCACTAATATAGCGTCTCATTTGAAACGCGCTGAAGCTAAGGAGTCAGAAATGAATCGTAGAACATTTGGAAATACAAAAAGGGTTGTTAACTTTTTCCTTTAATTTTGATGCTTTTGACTTTCTTGAGCAACCCAATAATTGTTTTAGAAATAAAAACTTTTGAACGATTGTTCTTTTGAAGAAACACTCTAAAAAAAGGGTCTTCCCTGGTGTTCGTTTCTCTATTTATCTCTCCCTTCTTTCAAGAACTTTGATGCTTTGCGTTTGCAATAATCCTAGACACTCGAATTACTTTAAAGAAGAAAATTAAACGGTTAGTGGTTAGTCAGTATTAGTAGTTGAAATTTCAAAAATACACGCAAAAACTGGGCATTCCAATTTGCGTTGCTTGTTGCGTTGGTGACCAAATACGGCTGCATAATTTAACTCTTGAATGCATCGCGAGATATGCCACTTCATCGCAATTTATATTGCGTTCAAAACCGAAAAAAGAAAGATTTTAAGCAGCTCGTGAAAATTGTCAATTTTTCCCTGACTTTTAGCTGTTTTTGGTCAAATTCCCTGACTTTTCCAGGTTTTCCCTTAATTCCCTGACCGTGGCAACCCTGAACTTAATATTGTTACAGTCATGAATGTATAGCTTAAGTGCGCTTCAGCTAGAATTGTATATAGCAAATGGGTAATTTCTATACGAGGATTTTAAATAAGCAAGTGGTAAGTACGGAATAAAACAAAAGAATATGAACTATGCAAAACGATAATCCGGGTATCGGAACTTGGCTGTTTTGAAAACGCCTTCAAATGCGGCGTTATACCTCACGCATTCCGGAGAGTTCTAATAGTTGTATCATTGCGCCTTAGAAATGCGACGGGAGATTACAATTGAAACAGCCTTCATGCACGCTGGCCTTTTCGATTTCCGTTAATATTTTTGCAGTCATGAATGCATAGCTTAAGTGCGCTTCAGCTAGAATTGTATATAGCAAATGGATAATTTCTGTACGAGTATTTTAAATGAGCAAGTGGTAAGTACGGAATAAAACAAAAGAATATGAACTATGCAAAACGATAATCCGGGTATCGGAACTTGGCTGTTTTGAAAACGCCTTCAAATGCGGCGTGATACCTCACGCATTCCGGAGAGTTCAAATAGTTGTATCATTGCGCCTTAGAAATGCGACGGGAGATTACAATTGAAACAGCCTTCATGCACGCTGGCCTTTTCGATTTCCGTTAATAGCCTTTAGTTATAATCCAAAAGGAAGAAAGAATCACTGCAGACCAAAAAGAGCAAGAGTCTTATTGATTGTGAATCTGTCGCTTTCATTTCCCACTTCATGTTTCTTAAATAAAGGGACCTAAGTGAAATACAAGATCATTTAGACGTTCCAATGAGACATTCAAAATTACAGAGTGATATTTCCAGCTAAAAGGGTGGCTCCCTCACCCTTTTTTCTATTAGGCGGTTACAATTAATCATGCACCAGTTAAAAATTTTCATGAATGTGGCACCGAGCACAAATTACCAAAACCAAAGTTCCTTCATTTTTTTCAAAGTCAGCATTTTCACTCACTTGCATACTGATTCTGAGTGACTACAGTTGCTGAGAGATTGAGAAACTCTATGATCGGTTTCCGAACTAGGGTTTAAACAGTCTTAAGTTCACTGTTTGAGAACGTAGTTTCAGAGGAGAGGGGAAAAAAAAATTCATGAGCTAGTCTGCCATGTTTAGGGCTTAAAATTGTAGGGTGAAGAAGTATTCCTATTGATGGGGGAAAAAATTCCAACTTATGTTGGACGAAATCTCTCTCTTGAATTTGTCTATAGGATTTAGAGCCCCCTATCCTGCGAAGGGTATCATTCTTCTTTGTTTTGAAGTATTAGAGTTAACGAATTACAAAAATGAATGTCTTTCAGTATTAATAGGGTGATACTTAAGTTTTCTTGGATTAAAAAATACCCCCACTCTTTGCAGGGCTTTTGAAAAAACAATTTCCTGACTTTCCCATGACTTTTCAATGTTTTTTTACAGAGTCTTTTAAAATTAAAAAGAGCTTGATGCAAAAACGGCTTTTTTCGCCCCCCCTCTGGAAGTTCTTCAGACTTTGTCTATTGATTACTCATACTTGAGCGCTTCTTTTCCCAAATTTTCAGACCCCCAAAAAATTTTAGGGGGGAGCTAGGGGAGGTGGAAGTCAAAACCTGTGAACCTCGATATCTCGTGAACAAAGAAAGATATCGAGGTCTGGTTTGGACGAAAAATCGTCTAAAATTGCATACTTTAAGATTCTAAAGGTCGAAATCCCGATGTCACATTTTTAAGTCAACATATGTGCTTTTTTCCAGTTTTTAGGTCTAGAAAATTTCTTTTGAACGAAAAATTTACAAAGATCTCAATTTTTTATTTGAACCAAAACCAGTTTTTTAAATTGTTCGTCTTTTTCCGCATCCAACGAGTGGTCCATTAAGCTGGGGAACCAAACGGTTCCGGAGTTATGAGCGATTGAAGTTTCCGCTCAACGCGCGCCGACCGATTTTTGCGCGCAAAAAAGTCGGATTTGACTGTTATTAGATCAGATTGAATGTTCAAACTGAGCAAAATGCTTTATTAGGGACTCTTGAGGGTCGCTGCGTTCAGAAATTACCGATACTTCCAAATAATTTACGTTTTTAAAATTACAGCTCCGCAGCGCTATTTTAGAGGCCCACGGAGCGCCGACCGGCCGCTCAGTGGTCCTGTCCGAAGCTGCAATTTTAAAAACGTGAATTTTTTGGAAGTATCGGTAATTTCTGAACGCAGCGACCCTCAAGAGTCCCTAATAAAGCATTTTGCTCAGTTTGAACATTCAATCTGATCTAATAACAGTCAAATCCGACTTTTTTGCGCGCAAAAATCGGTCGGCGCGCGTTGAGCGGAAACTTCAATCGATCATAACTCCGGAACCGTTTGGCTTCCCAGCTTAATGGACCACTCGTTGGATGCGGAAAAAGACGAACAATTTAAAAAACTGGTTTTGGTTCAAATAAAAAATTGAGATCTTTGTAAATTTTTCGTTCAAAAGAAATTTTCTAGACCTATAAACTGGAAAAAAGCACATATGTTGACTTAAAAATGTGACATCGGGATTTCGACCTTTAGAATCTTTAAGTATGCAATTTTAGACGATTTTTCGTCCAAACCGGACCTCGATATCTTTCTTTGTTCAAGAGATATCGAGGTTCACAGGTTTTGACTTCCACCCCCCCTAGCTCCCCCCCAAAATTTTTTGGGGGTCTGAAAATTTGGGAAAAGAAGCGCTCAAGTATGAGTAATCAATAGACAAAGTCTGAAGAACTTCCAGAGGGGGGGCGAAAAAAGCCGTTTTTGCATCAAGCTCTTTGAGAACAAAGAGGCAGAGATTCTAGCATCAGCCAAGAGAGCATATTGGTGCAATGGAAAAAGACTAAATTTGGGCAAGATTCTATGACTTCTCCAGGTTTTTCCTGAGTTTTAAAAAAGTTGTCACCCTACTTTGAGAAGAGATTGTTTTTTGAAGCAAAGAAGTACTGATGGATATAACTTGGTGTCAATACTTCTCTTCAGTTCTTGATTATTTTCAATTTGATCTCAAAATCATATCTAAAATTCCAAACTGTGGCAGCAATCTGAATTTCTCCAATGAAAGCTGTCATACTTCATACAACTTCCTTACAGTTTTAGAGCATTGTAACTTGTCAAATGAAAACTTCCTCAATGAGCCCCTTTACTTTTTAACATCAGGAGGCTGAAATTCTATGACACTTCCTGAAACTATTTCAATTTGAAATAGACTGACTTAGAGGCTTCGTCATGGTTCCAATGTGAACAAACACATAACCTTGTTTCCGATTCGCACCCTTGGAGCCATGGTTGTAAAATGCGCCCAAGTGTTTCTTACGATCGAAATTTCTCGTGTTTGATGAGTCCTTTATTAATTTCACACTAGTCAATGACTAAATTTTAATAAATTAACACAATTAACTTAACAAGAATTTGTACATGAGGTTATGTGAGTTTGTTTTGGGTTGAACCAAGAGTTTGGTATTATGTCAAACGACGTCATCACTAAATCAGTCTATTCTCATGAGACTGTTTTCACACTAAAATCTTTACACTTCTGACATTTTCAAAGACTTTTTTAATAATACAGGTGCTTGACACAGAGGCTTTGAATAAAGATATTTGTTTAACAGAAGACTGTCCAACAGGTTTCAGATTTACGTTAGTGATTTTAAACTTGGAATCTAAACATGAATGAGTGAATGGTAAATTCAATAAAATGGAAGGGTGGTGTTTAAGTAAATACTGAGTTTTGGTCAAAATAAGCAAAGCTGTATTTTGAATTTTTTTTTAATTGTATAAAAATTAACAAAGTCTTATTCTATCGGTTGGATTTGGCGACACGTTCTAACTCGTCCTTCTTCTTGATGGCGTAAGAGTTTGATGAACCCTGGAACAAATGGAAAATTGAAGTGAGTTACGGAGTCTCAGTAAAACAAGATTGAATGCTGAGAGAGACACAATTGATGGAAAAACAAAGGCGATTTTTGTTGTTGTTGTAAAAGCTAAATTCCAGACAAGGATGAATCACCTTGCATACAGTTATTGAGCTCACAGATCAGAAAAACCCATAAATTTGGGGCTTGCAGCCCCTTATTTGTGATGAACTAGCAGCTTAGTTTAGATTGAATTTTTGCTGCAGAGAAGTCTACATTATCAGACCACTTTCATAGCCTACATGCTAAATTGTATTCATAAAGTCAGGGTATACAATTGTAGAAAGACCAGGAGGAAATTGATTGGGAGAGGACGCTGTTTCATTGTGCTTGAAGTCACGGCACAGAAAAAAGCAGTTTTGATTCAAAAAGAAACCTTTAGGGTGACCTAAAATTCAATATCAATGCCGCTTCACTGGAAGGCCTAACTGAGCCTTAAGATTGCACAGTTTTTGGAATATTTTACATCGTTTGCAACCTTTTCGTAATTTTTCTGAAACACTAAGTTTTTCCCTGGATCTTGAGTGCAAATTGGCAGTATTTTATTTTTTTTGAAGGTAGATCCCAATTTCTTTCAACTGTCTTCACAACATCAAATGCTTTACTATTTTTTCACAGCAAACATTTGTCGCTGACAAATGGTTAGGTTAACCTTTTCCTTGCTTTTTTCTTGCACAACATTTAAAGTCAGCAAGGAACACAATTTTTTTTTTTTCTTCAATTGGAACAAACAATTTACCAATCATTTAATGTACCTAAATGATTTGAAAATAAGCATTTGAAAAAAGGGGAAATGCCAAAAGAAAGAACTAAAATAAACACAGTCCAACTGACACTAGGCAGAAAAATGATGGGCTCAAGCACAAAGAGAAATAGTATGCCTTTAGGCTATTTTGTAGGATCATCTGAAAATCCCAACTAACTGACCCTTTACATAGGAGATCTAAGCATTTTCCATGTGGCGAACACCCTCTTCATTCGCAGATTTTTCTAGCTCAATGGCTAAATACGAAAATTGCGTACTTCAATTACAACGTTTATGAGTCTCCAATGATGTTTTAATTTATTCAAGGAAAACTGTTTGAAACATGTTTTCTTTCAGTTTTGCAAGATTTTCCTACAGAATGAGAGAAGAAAATACACATGGAACCTGTAGATAGGGTTTCTTTTGCATAAATAATATAAGAGAGGATATTATGTTGAGATATGAGAAACGCAGTTTTAGACTTCAGCCACTGTAATGTCCCTCTTAAATACATGTAATGTTGCTAACTAAAGTGCTCAGTCACAAGTAGAGAGAAAACACTCATACCTTAGCAGCGTTGATTAATTCATCAGCTAAACACTCAGCAATTGTCTTGATATTTCTGAAGGCTGCTTCACGAGCTCCTGTGCACAGCAACCAGATAGCCTAGAAAGGAGTTGAGAAGTTATTGATTAATAAAACATTTCAGACATTTCTAGGGTAATAAAAAAGCTATTCTGCTCCACAAGAATGGGATAGGGGGTGTTCAACCAGTAAAAATACACATTTCTGATCTTTTTCAATTTTTTAAATACCTAGCTCAGCTTGATCGAACTCACTAATATCAGGAATTATCACTGTTGAAATGCACGAATAAAACTTTTGCTTTAGTTGATAAGGTCACTGACTCAGTTTATAGGAAATAATTCTTGTCGAAGAGAAAACTTGAGGTGAGATAATGATGTTGGGACACGTTTTCAACATCTGCGATAAATTAAGAGATAAGAACTGCATGGAAAAAGGTTCTCTTGCAAAAAAATGTATTAGAAAAAGGAAAATTGAAACACTAGGGATGCCTCCCATTCTAGGGATGTCGATACTTAACCGATACTTCCAAAGTATCGATACTTTTGATCGATACTCATCGATACTTGGCATCGATACTCAACGATATCGATACCATGTGGTATCGATCCTCAGACCCCAGTATCGATGGTATCGATACTTTATCTGATTTGGCCACGAAGAAGGCCTTTTTTTCTTCTTTGAAAACTTCTCTCCCCACTATTTCACCTTCATTATGCACTGTGACAAACGATGGAGTAATCAAGTTTCTCAAGATGATTACTTTCGTTAAAAACGTTAAAAGCTCAGTTCGATAATTGTAGTAAAGGGCTCAAAATAATTGATCAAGGACGCGAATAGGGCTGTTTTGAGAGAGGCGTAAATCTGGCGGAATTTAACGGCCGACAGACATACGCACACTCGGAATTACGGCATAATTCAGAAATAGTATCGGTGGTATCGATACCTCAAAAGTATCGATACTTCAGCTCGATGCTCGATACCGGTATCGATACTTAGAGTCGATACCAGTATCGATACCGAGTATCGATACTTCCCCGAGTATCGACATCCCTATCCCATTCTATTATAATTAAAAAACACCATAAGTCAACAAGAAGGAAGGTAAAGTAGGGTCCTTACTTGATTGACTCTCCTCAGAGGTGACACATCCACAGCCTGTCTTCGGACAGTACCAGCACGACCGATACGGGTTGAGTCCTCACGGGGTCCTGAGTTGATGATAGCGAGTACAAGGATTTGAAGAGGGTTCTGAAATAATAAGAGGGCAATTACTAAATGAAATATAATTACAACATTGACTAGACATTACATAGTTCTCAGTCAATAAAAGGAAATAATCAGAATGAGGTAAAAAATTGTGGCAGAAGAGACACATTGCGCACACATGACAACTTCATGCGAGTAACTTCATATGAGTTATTATTATTTCAATGAAAATTTTCTACAAGTATCATTCGGTGCTGATTTAAAGATTGTTTTCCTTGAAATTCATGCGCATGCTTTTGAGCCGTTGAAAGACTTAAACAATCATTTGTTCCAAATTAATCACAGATACCCGATGACACTCTTTGCACCTGCAGCAGAAATGGGATTCTTAATCTTAAGGTGGTCACGCAAAATTTAAAATGGAATTCTCAGACTTTTCCAAGTTTTCTGGCAACAATTTTGGGATAATTTCTTACTTTTGGAGGTAAGTATAATAGAGTGAAAATTCAAATATTAGAGGATCGCCACAGAATTTAGAAAATGAAATTCCTTGACAATTGAGGACATGCCAGATGGTTGAAAACACATGATTGGAAAAAAATTAGCCAGACTCTTTCTAAAAAGCAAATGAAGGTGACTTAACAATTCTTCCCTGACACTTACGCCGGTTCACTATGGAAGATATTGAGTGTGGAGGAGACTATAATGCAGTGTAATAAGCAACTTACCTCTCCAGTCAGGAGGTGAATGATTTCAAAAGCGTGTTTCACAATTCGAACAGCCAGTAACTTTTTACCGTTGTTGCGACCGTGCATCATCAGAGAATTCGTCAGTCGCTCAACAATAGGACACTGAGCTTTGCGGAATCTCTTTGCTGCAAACCGTCCGGCAGAGTGAGGTAAATACTTTGCATTCTTTTCTTTGACAGCGATGTAATCCTGTGAGAGAAACGCCACACGAAGTTAGGAACGTAGCTACAATTGGTTTAGAGAGAAAGAAAACAGAAATCCTGATACTAAGATCAGTGTTTCGCGTTGAGATACTCTATTGGAGAGACAAGTAAAATTTCAATTAGTCAATGATGTGAACTGACGTAATTAGCTTCAGTATTCATCAGTAAGTTAACAAAGATAAGCACCAAAAATGAAGATGAAAACGGATGAGTGCATTTCCACTTCTCTAGATGTTGGGTGTTCGTTTGGCAAGGCAGCAGGCAAGGCGTGAGTGATCAATTATTGATACCTCCCCATTTGAAGATTTTGTGAAGAATCAATTATTAGTGCACCGAAAAAAAACTGAAGTTGATTTAACATTCTGGATGTGAAAAAAAAGTGCGAGAACTTCAAAAATGCTGAATTACCCGCTCCAGCAATTACGATAGCAATACTGAGATGTAAAACTAACTGCTGTGGCGGGTAATTCAGAATTTTACAACTTCTTGTACACTTTTTTTACATCCACAATGTTAAATCAACTTTACTTTTTTTTCGGTGTGCATACATTACGGACACCCTATTTATCGATTCTTTCCCACATGCTTAAATGAAAGATCAATCAATTTGTCGCAAAGTACGCCGTACCGCTGCTAGAACTGGGGAAGGAAAAAAAAGAGACAAAAGTCGCATCAGTCTGGATGCATCAATCATCAGTTGGCCCATTGGTTAACATGTAAATATCTGTTAAATGGTGCAATTTTTGGATGTGACATTTTTCTCATCTTTTCTTTCCCCAGGTCTAAGTACAAAGAGACCTTTCAATGTAATTAAAGATTCTCTCCTGGTTACATAGACTAAGTAAAACGGGAACGTGCAAGGTAACATTCTAGAAAAATTGAGTTAGGATCAGTTTTAATTTTGACTAATCATAAATTATCTCCTGAAAATATTTTCTCAAAAAAATATATTTTGTTGTGAAAATAGTATTTGATATTGCATTTTACAGAGGTTCAATACTTCAAAAAGCTTTTTCTCCGGACTCACATTAAGTATGTGGCCCAATTCCTGCTAAAGTTCAGTCCAAATTATTTAAATCATACTACAGGGCTTTTTTTTTATCTGAACCACAGTGGACCGCAACGGAACGCAACACTTTTATTATAGCGTTCCACTGGCGCAATCCAGTGGAACGCTTGGACCACTCTTCCGAGGTAGGTTGAACCAGCCTGAACCACTATCATCGCGTTCCACGGATAAGAAAAAGCCCTAAAGATTCAATGCTGATCAAACGTTATGACTTGGTGATATGGTCTGTTTTGATGACTTGAGGAAACAGGAAAGAGTGCACAGGTTTAAGTAAGAGAAAGAGAAAAATTGGCAGAAGAGATAAAGGAAGCTCCATTGCAAATCCAGTCTATACTTAGGGTATGTGGCAATTAACTATTCAGAAAACCTTACCTGCAGAGACATATCGTTCACTTCTACATCATCGCAGCTCCACCTGCCGAACAACTTGATTTCTGGCAGCTCAGCTGCTGGGGGAGCAGCAGCAGGGGTAGTGTAGGTTACAGTGGTGGATTCATCGATTCCCCAATCGTCATCGGCCATGGTTGATTAGTTTACCTGCAAATAAAACATAGGGTTATCAACTAGAACGAAACAGATAGATCGCTATGTGGTAAAAAAATTGGGCACACTTAGTGCTGGCGATACAACTTACGATAATTGAAGGTACATCTGCTGCGATGAAGGAAAATAAAAATTTAATCGTAACACAGAAGTTGTAATCCTGAAACTATGAATCCCGCTGAAAGGGGCCCTAACCTACAAAATACATACATCCAAATTGGCTTCCCAATGCATCTGAAAATAATAACAGAAGGAATGCAATAGCTTCGCTGCACATAATACGTTAACCATTGCACGTGCAACTACTGGAAAGGGACAGGTAATTAAGCAGAACACTGGTTTTGAGTTTTGACATTGTCTAAGGCTTGGTTAGGAGGATGCCTGAAGCAGGTGATCAATCTGTTGGGAGGATGGTGCTGGATCAGAATACTGGAAATTGACCGTAAATTAAACCCACTGGAACCCTCAAGGAATTGAATGCAGCAATTCGGCGTACATATAGAGTTCAATTTCCGCTCCACGTGGAACAATAAAGCGAGAACACACTACCGCCATTACGAATTGCACCGAGAAATAGGCAAAACAAGGATACAGATAACGGGCAAAATTGTGACTTTCTAGGGCACATAGAGGGTGGAAAACACTTTGAGGAGATCATGCAAAAGATACCCCGAATTCCAACTTACTTGAAGAGGGCTGCGGTTGTCAAAATCCAAAAAAGAAAGAGAAAATTTATAAAACGTAAACGGTGGCTGTGCACATGGCAGTCCGAAAACGCAAGGAACGAGTGAGACAGAGGGATTTGAGTAGGCCTATGAAGTGACCGGTTCCGCCATCTTGACACTTTTCTTATGACGTAATTAGAGAGCAATAGCCAATGAGAATAAGGATGCTCTATCAGCAGCAGTTTCCATACGCATGCACTCCCTCTGTACATGCTATGCGCTATCCTATCATAATTATTTGTTTACCATTTGGCATTTGCCGTAATCAGTAGTTAGTGAAGTGAAAAGTGAAACTAAGTAATTTTGATTATTTGAATTTTCAGGCAGAAAATGTCCTCAACAGCCGATTGTAAGTCATTTTCCTGAATTTACTTCAATATTTTTGTTATATGAAGGCTCTGTCATCGCCTGGCTTTTGCTTGAGTGTCAGAGAAAAATGTTCGAAACTCAGGGCGGTTTTGGAATTGGCTCTGCTGCCTCGAGTTATGACTCGCATGGAATTTCATCCAGATAATTGCATCAAAGGGCATTTGCAGAAAACTTCCAATCATGTTCTTCTTGGTGAAGGCAAACTTTAGCAGAATGAATCTTAACCATTAAATGGTATGTAATTTTGGAGCGCCCAAATTCTATTTGTTGACAGTTCCTTCTTGGAAAAGTTGAGGGCTTTGACTCATTCCACACTGAGATGGGACGGATCGCAAAGGAGCAAGCTATTGTAGAGTGACTCAGCCAAGGTTTCAGTATTCAAAACTACCCTGATTGCTAGAGGGAATTGTACATTTAAGAGGACACTGCGATAATGTTAAGTAGGTATCACATGGCTGATCACTAGGCATTACAAATTATATTTGTAGCTGTTTTCTAAGATGATTAATTTATCTATTTATTCCTACTTCTCATCGTTAACAGAACCACATCCTATTTCAAAGACATTCTACAATGATTTGTTAAACATTGATTTGATCCGATGGAACAGGGTGATATACTTACTTAATTTGGAGATAAGCATTTGAGATAAATCTTCAATGGACCTGATTATAAACTTTATTTCTTTTGCCTATCAAAACCTCCCACAGGTTCTCCTGGAAAACTGCTCCATCTTTAAGATGGAAAAACCTGAGAAAATGCAATTTAGTCACAACGAAAAAGTTCTCTTGTACCAATGATACCCTATCAACCAGCAGGTAGCCAGGATTTTGTTTCGGGGGGGGCTTGGTCGGGTGTGCAGGTTTTCATCCCCCCTCCTCCCCGATCAAGGGGGAAGTTCGTAGGGGTATGGAATATCTCTCCAGTTCAGAGAGGGGTCTGGGGGTCCTCCCTTGAAAATTTTTTGAAAATTTGAATCCATTTGGACCATTTTAAGGCTTCTGTGATGCAGATTTTCCATCAAATTCTTTGGGAAAATTATGTTTTTTTTTTGGTTTACTTGAATCAGCCTAAAATATCTCCAAATTGTTGCATTCAACGCATCTGGAAATTTTTTGAAATTTTAACTCTATTTGGACGAATTTTGAAAAATCAAACTTACCCTTTTCTCGACTTTTCTTATTTTCTGTCTCTTCTTTTCTTCGATGTTGTCTTCCTTTTTATTGCCCCCCGGCTACCTGCCTGCCTATCAAGATGGCTTTCCAAATTACATTTCTTATCATATACAGGCTTCATCCAATACCTGCATTTTTGCTGCTTTTGTGATGGAGAAAAAAACACATACCTATGGGGCCACTCCCATAAAAATTGTCAAAATAATTATGCCCCATTTGAGTATGCAAGTCAACCTATCTTTTGTGGAATATGACCCGTGTGTCAGGTACTTTATTAATTACTGAGAAAAAATAAACAAATACTAATTTTAACATCACTTCTTTCAGGCTCTCTTGCCCTCTACAATTTTGGCCACAGGCAACTGCCTAGGTTGCTTCCTTGATAAATCTTGCTTGCTACTGCTAGATCTTTTAAAGGAAATAATTCACCGAGTATCATTGAAATAGAACTAAAGTTAGACAGTTTATTTTGAACGTGAATTAACACCAAAAACTTAATTTGTAAATTTGTAATCCTAACTGCTGGACACTTATGATTCAATAAGCACTCTAGAAGATTAGTCCCTCTTATTTGGAAGGCTTTTTGTTGCAATTAAACGTTTTGTCGGTATAGACAGCTTTAGTCGTTATTTTAAACTGTGTCTGCAGATACCGAAGGATTAAGGAGTTGTTTAAAGTCATTTTATAAGAAAATTCATTTTTCAAGCTTGAAATGTTTTTGATCTCTCAAAAATTTTGAAGGTTTGTACCGCCAAAAGTTTGTAAATGATTCCTCCTTCTTTTGACGAAATAGGGAAAACAGGCTTCCAAAAGAAAGGAAAGAGGTAATTTAATAACGTGTAAACCGATTAGTCCTCATTCTACATAGTAGGCATGATGAGCTTGCATGAGCCGTGTTGGCATTTGACCAATGAGGACGTGCCGTCATAAATGTTTTTCTTAGAGCCAGGTAGGTATTCTGAAATCTATTCAGACGCGAAGGAGCCTAATTTTGCCTATCCTATTGAATGAAGGCTAATTTTGTTGCGAAGAAAAAGTCATCTCGAGAATTCATGAAACTCCAATGCTACCCATTTCCACGTAATATTTTAATTTTTCCCTGGTTTAGTAGTATTAGTTCAGCCTGACTGAACGAACTCTCTTGCTATGAGCAACAATAGTGGTATCTAAATGATATATGGGGCGCAGCATTCTGCTTTGAATTTTTATGAGTATATTCTTCATCCTTTAGGAAAAATTCACGAAAAGTTTCAAGACGTTACGTTGTTCAGTTTTTCTATGAAAAATCAAACATAAAAGGATGCATGTAACGTGAAGTGAGTTAGGCCGATTCTATAGTTACATACCTACCTGGACCACGTTTTGGAAAAAAAAAAAAAAATAATAAAAAAAAAAAACACCACCTCTGGCTCATGTTAGGAACAATATTTTGTGCCAACATTTTCCTATGCAGATGTGTACTTTTATAAATGAACAAGAAAATGGTTGTCCCTTATCGCCAAAAGAAGTTCAGTTGGGCTACATTTTGCAATGTGGAATTACTATTTCTGGCTCATTCATGAAAGCACCTATCTGCATAGGGAAACCAACGGCGCATACGTGGCTTTTAAAATGAGCCAGAAATATTAGTTTCTTATTGAAAAATGTAGTCCAGTTATTCTGAAAAAAAGTAATATTTCCTAGGAGATCCGCATCTTCGCGAATTGAATTGCGCGGTTGTTTCACCAACCGTATGACAGGACAACACGCATCTACGCAATAAAGCAATCAGTATCTCAACTTAATAATTTTACCTAACCGTTCCAACTCAGTCCTGCGTTTTTACACATCCGTGACACGCACGAACTTAAATATTGTCCCATCTGTTATCGCAGTCTCTTCCACCTTCGAACAACAAGACCTAAGCGCCAGGCGCTGACGAGTACGTTGAGGTTGCAATCTATTGATCGATCCGCCTTTTAAACCTGTGGAAAAGGATCGATATTTAGGGTGTTCGCAACGAACACCTCAATAATCGATTCTTTACCGCAACTTCAAACGGGTATATCGACGGTGAAACTACCAAACCACGTATCTCGTTTGCGGTGTTTAAAAATCTACGCTCGCATTTTACTTTTTTGAAGTCGACCAAATCAATATCATTCCTTGAAATTTTCACAGAATTTTCTCTGCACAAAGAGGAAAAATCACAGAAATTTTCAAGACTAGACGTTAAGTAGTTTTTCATTTAAAAAATAAAGTATGACAGGAAGTCTGCGACGTCGCAAACCGAGATACGTGGTTTGGTAGTTTCACCGTCGATATGTCGAGAATCGATCATTCACGTCTCGCCACTAAACTGAAGTACCTACACAGAGAAAGTGCTGCCATGTCCATGTCGCACTCTGATTGGTCCTTTCGCAGCGCTTTTAGGCTTGAGGGCCCAATGGCAGCCAACTGGCCCAGAAGAATGTGATATTATCAGAGAGGAATGAAATTCTTGGCAGAAATATCCAACAGAAATTGCCAAGAACTTATTTCAGAAGTCGGAAATCAGATCATTTTTGTCTCATCTTGAACTCTACCGCCGTAAGGTCCGTCCGCCTGGCACCGGATGCCAGAGGGTTGCAGAAACTTTACGGAAAAGTTGCGGTTACGTTTGTGTAACATTTGTCCAACGTTTTCGGCTACCACTGCGAGGCAGACAGGGTGTCTCATTTCCATAAAATTTGAAAACGTGAGATTCTATCGGAAAAAAGGTACATGTTTATCAGCCCAGCGCAAAATATAATCATCAAAACTCTACAAATAATATTTGGCAGGAATTACACAAGCGAAAGAAATAACAATCCGGCAGTAAGGAAAATAATGAAATTTCTTGCATTCCCTTAACTGCGAGTTACCTACCCAGCCCCTGAAATGATAGTCTTGTAATTTTCATTTTTTCCACAGAGTCACGAAAATTCATTAAAAATTTCGCAGAACATATCCATCTTTCTTAGGCATGTTTCTCTGACATCGAGGAACTCCGTGTTCGTACACAGAGAAAAATTTCAACACAAAAGTTTGGTTAATACAGGAAGTAAACACCGAAATAACCCTAGCTTTAGGTTGACGGTTTCTAGAGAAAATACTAGCTAGTTTTCTTGAAGAAATATAAAAAACGAGCGGTGAATACCAACGCCATAGGAATGCATTTTCCCAGTCCCTCAATTGTTTTCTCCGCTAAATTCACCGCAAACCGTACTAAAATCAACACTGAATTTTTGTTGGTCTTCCTATTTGAACTAAAAGTACATAACGCAAGGACTCAAATATTTTTGTCAGTGTACCCCAAGGGTTCCATAACGCCTGGACCTGAAACACACAGACCAATCAGAACATGGGCGCAGTTTTTCTACCGAAAGGATTCAGGTGGTAAAACTTAACCAATGTTGGCACTAAACTGCCGTGTCAAGGAAAAACGCCGTATGAGCCTTCAGACGCTGCCATGTTTCCTTCCATAAAAACCGAATTTACTGGAAACATTGTGAATATTATTTTTCAAAATTTCCTGACAATTTTGTACGCAATTTACTATAAAATATTCTAAAATTTCAAGGAGAAATATGCATGAATTTTGTCACAAACGCATGTTTTATAAAGGGAAATTTGGCAACTCTCGACTGTTCATACGGCGTTCTTCCTTAGCACGGCAGTAAAGGCGAAGACACACGATACTCAGCCGCGCAGCAGTCGCCCCACGGCGCACAGTGGAACAGACTGTCGGGAAAGCTCGGACATAATTTTTTTTTTTATAAAAACTCCAAATTCTAGTATCTATTTCGCCGTTCTAAAAACGTTTACAACCGGCGCTCGATGGAAATTTTACAAGAAACCCACTTTCAAACCTCCGCCTCTCGTAGCGACGAAGATACGAGATTTTCAGTGTCCCACGGAATGTCCAACCTCTCCGGTTGACCCGCGCCACTGTGCGGCGCGGGCCCTGGGAAATCAATACGCACCACCACAGTCCGTGGCGCTCTCGGTGGCCATGTTTCCTTTTTCCGTCGGAGTCGCAACCTTTTTCCCTCCGCTGTTCGCACCCAATTTCGCGCTTCCATCGCGTTGGTTCCCGGGGTGAAATCCTCCAGTCGCCGGAAAATCTAGTCAATTTTCTCTCCTCGAATTCGGGCGGACGGGGAACTACGCGACGGCCGAACGGAGGTCCCAGAATCAGGTCGCGTTTCGGATAAGGCGCGATTTTCTTCCGTGTGATCGTCACATCGCCAGTCTTGGATTAGCACCTTTTTTCACCCCTTTCTACACTAGAAAAGCTGAAGATTTCTCCGTTCCGGTCTTATCCATTCGTGAGTATTGTGTTGTTTTCCGACAATATACCGAAAGGTTTTTGTCACTCTGAAAAGTTCACCAGGTCAAAAGTGCATCATTGTCTTATCAGCTTTCAAGGTGATCTTGTACGGAACTTATTTTTCTTTGTTCTATTTTTTTTAAAGTTCAGGATGGTTACGTCTACTTAGAAAATGTCCTAGGGAAACTGGTGGCGCCTTTTTTTGTATTGTTCATTTGTTTATTTTTTATTTATCAAGGTCGTGAGTGATTATCATTTTCATCACGGTTATTTTTCTACCTTCCTCTTTTTGGTCATAATAGAGGGCGAAAAGTTGTTGAAAAATCAGAGAATTTTGCTCAAACCTGAAAAGCCAAGGTAAAGTCAGTGAATTTTACTGCTAAACCTTGAAATTGTTTCTGCAGGCTTGAACGTTTTATCAGAATCAACTGCAACAGATGCCGCACAAAATAAATGAACAGCAAGTAAAAAAAAAAAAAACAAAAATTAAAGAAAAAAAACAAAAATGAAATAATAAACGTGGAAATCATTTTAATGAAAATCGCGCCGAAAAACATTCAAAAATATTAGGAATGTCAGAGAATTCTATGATCACAACCCACGAAAAGTCCTGAAAGGAAAAAACGGAACATTTTATGCTTAAAACCTGTGAAAAGTCAGGGAATTACAAAAAAAAAATTGTCACCCCGCTCTAGATGAAAGAACTGCGTGATCTCACACTGCCTGCATCACATCATACGTATGGTTGTATTGTTTCGAGACGGCAAATTAATTTTTAAATAGCTTCTCCCTCAAAATAACCTTTTTCTCAACCGCAAACTTCAAACTGCCCTAGCTATTTGTATGTTCTAAAATTGTTTGACGTTGTATCACCCCGATGTTCGTAGAACACCCTTTTTTGATTTGGTATTTATATGGCTTCTTCGTACTCAGTTTTGAAATTACGCGAATTAAGGTCCCTTTTTCTGTGGACGATTACAAATGAAGAATAACAGAGGCCATTGAATTTTATTTCCAATCGAAAATGTAGAACAGGATTTATTCCATAGTTAGGATTCGTTAATCTATAGTCCTCAGTCCGACACGGATGAGACGAGGTGTTGATGAAGTGTTCGGATGCAACTATTCGCACACAAGAGATGTCCAAGTTGCGGGTGCCGAAAATTGAAGGCGCCCACGGTCCTTGTTCGACGTCTTTTTCATTTTACACGAATTAGTAAGAGCGCTTGTGTGTGCGTGGGACATATTAGCACCTGACAGGAGGGAAATGAAGAAGAGGTGCCGGGAACAGCACCGGGGAAAGCACTACCATAAGCTTTCAGATACCCTCTGACCAGTCAAGATTTGTGTGAAAGTAATATATTCAAATCTTCTGAATACATTTTCATGATTTTTGGCTATTGACAAGTAATAACTGACACATGTATCGGCCTTCTTGAAACTTTCGAAGCGTAACCCAGGCTTTTTAGTATCCAAGATCCGTGCCTCCTGAGGAGCCCGGGGGCTAGAGGTGATTCTTGCCAAGTTGCAACAGTGTTCCTTCCTCATTTAAATAATCGATTTTTAATAATCGATGTTCTTAATCGATTCTGGGCGAGGCAACTGCTTCTTGCCTCAATGGAGCTCTTGGATGTGTCAGGAATTTGCTATTAAGTACTGATTCCTTTGTAACATTTCGCGAGAAAAACGATGGTGCCACTGCGGTTCTCTTTTAAACAAACTCATTTATTAAAAAAAGCTCTCCAAGTTGAGGTCGTAATTGAGGGAATATTCTAAGCTATCCGAAGGGTCCAGTCTACCTTTACATCTGGTCGAACTCTCCATGCAAAGATAGGGAGTAAATACATTAAGAGGGTTGCCTTTCTGTTTGAAGACTCTAAAATTGAAAAAGCAGCAACCCTGCATGTGTATGTATTTGCTGTGTATCTTTTGCATGGAGAGTGACTAGATTTAGAGGTGGACTCTCAGGGTAGCGTGTGATATCTCCTCAACTATGAGATCAATTTGAGAGCTTTTTTGAGCTTTTGAGTTGATTTCAGAGAAAAACAGGGGTCCCCGCGTATTTTGCACAAACATTTAGTTTGTGAAAGCTTTTAACAGCCGGCATACCAAGGTATGGTGCCTCTATATGGTTCGAAGACCAAAAACCACTAATTCATTCGCCACTCTCAATGGTGTTCCATGTGAGCAACCGTATGGTTCATAAACCAACGATTTTCTTTAGTGAACGATGTAGAAATATTGCATTTGAAATTTGAAAACAATTTCAGTTTTATCCAATTACAAAATTATTTCAATATTTTCTCTAAGCTGTGCCTCTTGGAAGTTATTCTGCGATGATGCCGAATTCTATGTATGCTATTTTCAATATTTCGTCGTCTCCCAAATGAAGGAACGTAAATTGCGTTGAAAGTGCGCGTAAACTAAATTGAACGTAAAACGCCAAGCTTGCCGAATTGACCCAAACAATTATTTTATTTTACAAAAATGTACCTATGCAATTTTTATGCAAAATGTCTCTGATTTTTGCATGAAAGCTGCGGAAAAATCAGTGAAATTTTCTCTCGGGAGTGCCCAAATTTCCTCCGGTTAGAATGAAATTTGCGCGGTTAAATTTGGCAACATTGAAATGGAGTTACGTTCTTTCGCAAGGGGAAGGACGATTTGTGTAAATTTGGCAACATTGAAATGGAGTTAAGACTATTAGGAACGTAACTTTATTCTAAGGTTGTCGAACTTACTCAAACAATTATTTTATTTTACAAAAATGTACCTGTGCAATGTTTATCCGAAGCTTGTTTAATTTTTGCATGGAATCTGAGGAAAAATCAGTGAAATTTTCACTTAGGATTGCCCAAATTTTCATTTGTTACTATGCAATTTGCGAGGGTAAATTTAGCAACATTGAAATGGAGTTACCAGGATGCCTATAACTCTGGAAATAGTACTGATTCTTTAAGAGCGACGGTCCGGAGGTACTGTAAAGTGTAAATATGCGGAAATTCCGCAAGAAGGTCCGGAATTGTTTTAATTTTTTTGTCATTTTTGTCGCAATTTGTGCGAGAAATTCAAATGTTTGAAATTTTTCGAGTTTCGTCAAATGGAGGTACTGATAAATTACTGAATTTTCCTGTTGAGGAGGTATTGCATTTCTTGGGAACGTACTGAAAAAGCACTGTAAAAGTACTGATTTTTGGGCAGCCTGTTTCAGTAAACACCCTGTTTTCGTTCCTTTTTGAGGGAAACGACGATTTGTGTAAATTTTTCATCGGAGAATGGAGTGAAGTCTAATTGCCGTTTTTTTTTACAGGGGCCTCGGGGCGCGGCGATTAAGTGGCGATCACCTCGGATGTTATGTTGTGTGGGGAGCTGGTAAGACCGAACCTGCTGCCCGGATTGCACCCAGTGTCGGATACAAGAAGCCCCTACGCCACCCTCTTGGGCATGGCCGCCATAGCCGCCTCGCAGCAGGTCGAAGAAGACGATGTCTTTCTCGGTAAGTTCACTCTTGCTCACTCTCTCATCTCAACTAGAGCACCTTTATAGATAGAGTATGGCCATTCGTATCTAATCACTACAAGATAAACTGTGCCGCTCTTTGATTGGTCAACGGGTTTTTAGGTTTCATAATGCTCTTACGGCCGTAAATGAACAAACAAGATGGTGACTCACCGTAACATTGATAAGAAGCAAAAATTTCAATTATGCAGCAGTAACAATTCAAACTAGCATATCAACGAATAACACATGAGAACACTAGAGTCCCTTTATACCCAGAGTTAAGACAACTCGATTATCAGCTGACTGGCAGCCGGCCTTGGCTGGCCATGGAGGCCGAAACGAGTGCACCCAAACGAACGATATTGAGGGATAAGGATCAGGAATCCTGCGATGTCTGTCACACAAAAACAACAACATCAACAAATTGATCAATTAAAAAGAAAATGAGATTGGTTCGTGAATAATTTCTTAATCTATTCTCATTTTGGACCGATGGGAATGACAATTTACTCTTGATAAACCACAATTAGGTAATATTTTCATTATTCTTGTTCACATTCGAGGTACCGCCATCTTGGTGCACTCGTTTCGGCCTCCATGAGCGAGAACCAATCAGAATTGGATTTTTTTTTAGGCCACTTTCAGCCCAACCAAAAGTGAGTTGTCTTAACTCTGGGTATAAAGGGACTCTAGAGAACACTGTTGAATCGCCTTTCGCCTTTATCACAGGAGGATGTAAGATGTGCATATCCACAAACTTGCTTGCTGATAACAGCCATCTTGTTTGGTTATTTACAGCCGTAAGAACATCGTGTCAGCCTATTCTCTCGCGACCAATGAAAACCCGGCACAGAGATGGCCATACTCTGTCTGTAAAGGTACTCTAATCTCAACAGTCTGGACCAGGACTAGACGCTCGGTGTACAGTATTGATCGGATCATTCGCTTTATCAAAGCAAACGCTCGGTTCGTGTAACCGAGCCAGCACACTGAAAAGAAAAAAAAAAGAAAAAAAAAACCCGCGATACTATTTGACTAAAAGCGTCGTTTCTTGTCGACAAAATTTGAGTTTTTTAAGTTAAATCCCTGCAGATTCAACTTAAAGTCGGTTTTTTTAGTTAAAGAAACGTTGATTTGCTGTCGTTTTTTTAACTTAAACTTATTGATAACAGAACGATGCTTTTTCAGCTTAAAAAAAACTGATGTTGAGTTGAATCCGCACGGATTTAACTAAAAAAAAAAAAAAAAAAAAAAAAAAAAAACGCAAATTTTGTCGAAAAGAGATGACGCTGTAGGTCAAAGTAATACTTCAAGGAAATTTTTTCTGTGCGTTTTTAGCTCGGTCAAAAGAAGGTTGGTTTGACAAATCGAATTGTTTGCACAATATTGAGCATGCTATGTCCTGTACGACCAAACTTTTTTTTTTTTTTTTCAGTAAGGTATCTACTGCGTGGGCGTGGCAATATAATCTACCCTTTTGTCCCCCCTCCGATAAAAAAGAGTCCCAATACTTTTGATCATAGTTTGAGAATTTTGGATCGGACAGAAACGTAACCGTGATCAAGTTTGTCGGAGTTCGATGGAAAATAAGTGAAAATGAGCTGAGCTCAAGTGGAAATGTCATGGAGTATCAAGATGTTTGATGGAATGAAGGACAACTTTGACAAAGTTTGATAAATTGGAAAAGTTAGCCGAAGTTAAATTGATAAACGCAACGTTGCCACTTTGTTGAAAACGAGAAACCGTTCGGAAATGTAAACTGATGAACAGCCAGCCAGGGGTGTAAATTTTTGTACGCCTCCGCAATTTTCGAAGAGACTACGATAATTTTCGTGAACGCGCTGAGCATTCCCAGAAAGGTCAGCACAACGCGTTTACCACAATTTCATCAATTTCCGTAGTTGATTTCCATTTTCATGTCAAATATTAACGCAAATCCTCAAAGCGTGTAATATGCAGGAGACGAAAATTGCCGACCTGAAAAAATAAACAAGCAAAAAGAAAAAACAAGCAAAACCCTCAATAACTTTGCCATAGCTCCATTTATAAAGAATATTTTATGACGCTTTCACTGACAGTGAGTTATCCGCCCGATGCGTTGGCTGTTAGCTGTTCGTCAATAACGGCGCTGTGATACAACTATTCGTGCCTAATGGATGCCCGTGTTGCATAGGCAAAAATTGAAGGCGCGCTAGCTTTCTCAACATCGATGCTTGGATTCTACTATTCGCGCTCTATGGATGTCCGTGTTGCGTAGGCAGAAAGCATAGAGAAAAAAAAGGAGGTGTTTGCATCTTGAGGATTTGTACCCACCTACGTCATCAATGTAAACAAGACGCTCGTTGAGGGTTATGTTGACGCTGTAAAAACGGACCATAATGTCCGATTTTTTTACTTAAATCAACTCTTTATTTAATTTCAAGCACTTTTTATAGAATGACTTTTTCCCTTAAATTACACCATTTCCAAGAAAATCGACAGGATAAAAACGTCGCTGTACCCAATGACGTCATCAAAGCTATAGATACTCTATGAAAAATTCCAAGATGCCCGAAATGCAAACACCTCCTTTTTTTTCTCTATGGGCAGAAAGTTGTAGGCAACCCGGCTTTTCCGATAACAAAGTCAGCGAGCCAGTTATTGAGATATAACATTTTTGTCGGCTAGTCAAGACAAGACCAAGATGAAATGTGTCACTTGATTGGTTGACTTGGTCCGTCATCAATGCCGTGCCCTTGCCGACAACAAGGTAAAGGTACTTCGTGAGTCGTAAATTGCTTACACATTTTATCCAACATATTCCGCGATTGACACGATAAAGGTCCAGTGGCGTGACGTGCTTTGCGATAAATCGATTAATCTGTCAATTAAACCTATGGAGAAGAATCGACGAATAGGGTGTTCGCAACGAACACCTTAATAATCGATTCTTTACCACAGCTTCAAATGCGAAACTATCGATAATCGATCATTCTCGCCTCGCCACTGTAGAGGTCGATTGAGAAAGCTGACCAATCACATAACTTTTTCACCTCCGCGTCATCTCGTCCAGTAGACAGGAATAAAATTTCAAAAATCGACCCACTGAGTGCAACAGATTGACAGATTTTTTATCAAAAGGTTTTGCACTGTTCCTAAATTGAACATAGTAAAATAATTTAGACCAGAAAAGTACATTAAGAGGCGTACCTCAAGTAGCAGCGATCGCGATAAGTTGCGATTCGATCGGAGAAATATCGCGATTGTTTCGACGTCAATTTACTTCAACATTATCGCATAAAAAATTGCGATAAATTAAGATTTTATCGCATAAAGCGATAACATCGCAAGTTTATCAACGGCGATTTAGCGCGATATTATCGAACAAAAAATCGTGATAAATCAAGATGAAATTTCGATTTTATCGAGCGCGATTGTATAGAGATATGATTACGAAAAGATTGAGGATAATCGCTCGGATGTTGATGTTCCCACCGATTTTACCGCCAAAAAATCGCAACCTAATTCCGACTACATTTTGCAATTAGGAGCTATACATTCCGGCCCGGTTTAAAAACAACGTGTGTGCCATTAGTTTCCCAATGCTCATAATTGTTTTTTCAGATGAGTCAGAATTTATAGCTCCAAATTGCAAAACGCAGTCCATTTCAAAGTACCGCGATTTTCCCGCTGAAAAATGTTACTTGGGACGTAAAGAATCGCTTCGTATTCCGTTCGCGAATCCGAACGAAAAAAAAATGTGCGACAGGGGAGGTTCGGGGCTCCGATCTCGCGAAATTCGATATCGGGTGGTTGGCAAGCTCGGAGCTGTATCGCGAGAGGCGACAAAATTTGCCGAGACCCTGTTATAGCCGCGGCCCACCCTCTCGATCGATCCTCCCCGAGGCCTTTACCCACCCCATCCCACCCCTATACCCC